CAGCCTGAATCTCTTATCACATTGGGACAGAAATCAAATTTGTGTGAGGACCCTTCTACACAGGACCGATATCCCATGAGAGGTAACAGGAGTCCTGAGGAGTCCAAAAGACAAGTTGACATCTGGAAAGATCTGGACCTTAAGCTAAGGTCCAGATCTTTGCAGGCTACAGGCCTGTGGGGATTGCAGTCCTGAGGGTCAATCACCATAGCCATCCCAGCCTGATGGAGTGGGAGGGTGCTGTTGGAGTTCAGCCTGTGATTGTGTTTCAAGATCAAGGTGCCACGGATGTGGGGAATGATGTCAATGAGGGTCAAGATGGCACTGGTTTGGTCAATGATATTAATGCAGAGAATGGCATACCTTCCCATACCTTGGGAAGTCTGACTTGGCCACGGTAGTCCACACTCTGGTTACATCCCGTATAGACTACTGCAACGCTCTCTACGTGGGGTTGCCTTTGAAGATGGTCTGGAAGCTTCAACTAGTCCAACGAACTGCAGCCAGGTTGTTAACAGGAGCAGCGCTCAGGGAGCATACACCCTCTTGTTGCGCCAGCTCCACTGGCTGCCAGTTTGCTACCGGGCCCAATTCAAAGTGCTGGCTTTGGCCTATAAAGCCATAAACGGTTCTGGCCCAACTTACCTGTCCAAACGTATCTCCCCTTACGAACCACTGAGGACTTTAAGATCATCTGGGGAGGCCCTGCTCTCGGTCCCGCCTTCATCACAAGCACGTTTGGCGGGGACGAGAGACAGAGTCTTCTCAGTGGTGGCCCCTCGGCTATGGAACGCCCTCCCTAGGAAGATCATGTCTGCTCCCTCCCTCTTGATGTTTCGGAGGCAAGTTAAAACGTGGCTATTTGAGCAAGCGTTTACAAATACAGAGTAGCTAATATAGGAAATCGAATGACCTGACAATGGAATTGGACAATGCTTGAGAATAATGAGACGCTGATGATGTTGTTTTTATTACTTTTGTGATGTCTTATACTGTTTAATGTTTTTTTAAAATCTATATTATGTTTTATGTATGCTGATTTGTTGGAAACCGCCTTGAGTCACCAATTGACTGAGAAAGGCGGTATACAAATACAGTAAATAAATAAATAAATAAATAAATAAATAAATAAATAATAGAGATGCCGGTTCAAAGTGTAGTTTCCCATGAGAATATTCCTACAGGGTATAGGGATGAGAGTTTACTCCCTGAATTGCTCCCAGAGAGTTCCCAGGATTTGGGGCTTGAAAACAACTTGGCACCTGCAAGATCTAATGAGCATATAGACAGGCGAGTGGAAATTAGCCAAAACAGATAGCTCAACCAAGGCCTTCTGCGTTCTGCCAGGCTTCGACAGATAAGGGTGAGAGGCATTCAGGGAAAACGATACCAATTTCTGAGTGCTTGGAATGGCTTAATGTGAGGATATAAAGTTCCACACATGGGAAATATAGTCAGATGAAGCATTGTTTCAGAATCCTGCTAAGTTCTTGCTCTTGTCTCATGGAAGCCTTGCTTGGAAGATTCATGTTTAAGGATTTCTTGCTGTATGGTTTGACTCTTTGTCTAAGATCTTCTGGGGAGGCCCTGCTCTCAACCCGGCCTCTATCACAAGTGAGATTGGTGGGGACGAGGAGCAGGGCCTTCTCAGTGGTGGCCTTTCACCTGTGGAATTCACTCCCCGGGGAAATTAGATCAGCGACATCCCTCCTTTCCTTTAGGAAAAAATTGAAAACTTGGATTTGGGACCAGACATTTGGACATTCTGGCAGCTAAAGAAAGAACTTGATGATGGACAGGAATTGACTAAACGGAATGGAACTATGGAACAATGCTGAACATGAGATTAGTTTTACTGATTGTGTTATGTACTGATTATTTTAATTTGCTAATTGTTTTAACTGCTGTTTTGTATGTATGTATATCTTGTGTAGGCATCGAATCCTGCCTTTTTGTAAGCCGCCCTGAGTCCCCCCCCCCCCGGGGGGGGGGGGTTGAGAAGGGCGGGGTAGAAGTACTAGAAATAAATAAAAAATTGTGATTACCTATTCATGCCTTGGATCAACATTTCCCTGTTTCTTTGGATTTGATTAGAGAAGTCTGGACTTTGTTTTTGAACTTTGCTGAACCATAACTTGGACCAGTTTGTTTCTGCTTATCTTCTTGCCTAACTGTATTTACCTATTCCCTTAAAATGCCTTTTCTACTTTGCTGCTTTTAATTATCTTCAATAAAAAGGATTGTTTTCCTACTCAACATGTGGTGTTTTAAAATCAGAGGGTTATCTGCTTTGAACTGGATGATATGAGTCTCCACTAACATATAATCTGGGATAAGCAGATAATCTGAGATCAGAGATAAAGGGCAGTTTAGAAGGGAGCTTAGACGTCAGCACTAACCTATGCTCCTGAAGTCAAATAGTCTCCATTCAAATAAACCACAAAAAGGGGCAATAGCAGATTTGTGATTTAGGCCCCTTCCACACAGCTATATAAAATCCACATTGAACTGAATTATATGGCAGTGTTGACTCAGATGATCCAGTTCAAAGCAGATATTGTGGATTATTTGCCTTGATATTCTGGGTTGTATGGCTCTATTCTGTGACATGCACGAGCACAATACACAGTTGAAATTTACGAATATTTAGCACATTCGGCAGAATGGCCAAGGAGAATATGTACTGATCATTCATATTCCTTCTACTGCTGCTTATTTGTACCACTAATCTGGCAATTGTATTTTGTGTTGTGCAGTTTACAGTGGGACAGGAAAAGGGCAAAGAAGGATGTGATCGTAAATAGTAAAGACCAGTGAATAGCCGGTAGAGAAAAACAGTCTCACCTTGTTTTGAGACCAGCGCTGAGCCCATGTAAAGACATCCCATGATATAACTTTCCTGGGATGTTTCATCCCTTCTTGGGAAGCTTTTAATTTAGCACATTTTGTATTTCAGTAGAATTAATAGATTTGAATACCTACATGTAAAAAATGATCCTCTGTGTCTGATATCGAGCTGCTTTTTAGTGGGGCCTCCTCTCAGGGAGAAGCCCGAGGACCGCGCCTAAAGGGCTCTGGGTCCCTTGGTGAGGCCAGCGAGAGCCAATCCAAAGAGTAAAATATTACAAATAATAATGCCTCATCCAGGTGGAAGAAGGTTTTCAGCAATCGAGGTTTATTGTGATTCAGCTGAGATCAGATGCCTTGCAGGAATCATTCCACTGCAAGCATACAGCACAAGAATTTCCAGGCATTTTTATACAGAGTGAAACAAAGAGAACAGTTTGAAAATCCCGCCCGCCCCCCTGACAGCCGGCTTCACGCTGATTGGCTGGGGCTGGAACAGCTGGGAGGAGGTAATCCCGCCCTCCCCCCACCAGGAGCCAATGGGAGCGTTTTCTCGCCTCGGGAGGGCCAATGGGCGCCCTCCGCTCGCTTCCTAGGTCCTGGCCAATCAGGAGCGAGGGGGCGGGACGAAGTTTGACAGCCCAGTGGGGAAATGGAGTGCCCAGGGGGCATCCGCCAGCTGTTACTGAGCCTTTGTTCTCATCAGCGGGGTGGCAGACAAGGGGAACAATGAGTTTCCCGGTCATGATGGGATTTGGGAGGAAGTATGAAGAAAGGTGGAAAAGGGGCTATTGATGGTGTTTGGACCTCGGGCCTTGTAAACAAGGGGGATCAACAAACACCAAAAATTGAGTTAATCAATCTTTTTTCCTAAGGTTTTGTTGACCCTTCTCGCCCTAGGCTGTCTGCTCTGAAAGCCAGTTTGAGGAAGGGTCAATCAGGCGTTCCATGCAGATGTAAATATGGACCGTTTCAGGAGGACAAAGGATTTCCTCCCTGTTACAGTAGTCCTCGGGTCACATTCTTTTTGGGGCAAAGGTCAGAGAGGAGAAGCGGGAAGGGGAACCAAAGTACATTTCATTCCATTACATACAYTTCATATATTCTATACATTTCATAAGGYAATCCCATCCCCATCCCCAGYGMAAGTTTATTAATAAAAAATAYTCAGTCACTTTTATTATTGAAAGAARTTCRTGGTCTCCTGGTGAAGGYACACGGAAGCRGAGGYTGCTTGYGRATYGGAGCAAGCCTGAKCTGAGGGTTTGCRTCCAAAAATGTGGCAGAAAACAGTCCGGGAKGTGGAGCAGAAAGTCAATRAGAAAAGGCAGAAGTCCAGTGATGGGCGCTGGGTTGATCAATAACAGAATCCATCGCTCAGCCCTTGGGGAACTATAAATACTTGGGAGGGGGGGGGGAAGATGCTCGTCATCATGTCTAGGTTCTAGAACTTTGATGAGGAAACTAGAACCTTTCTCCCAGATGTAACAATTGGGTTTTGTTTTATTTTTAACCAAAGAGGCCATTCAGGGTCCTTCCAGACAGGGCAGAAATCTGCCTTGATATTCCCACTTCCTCCTGGGTTTCTGTCCCCACCCCAAAACTAAATCCCAGATTTTCCCTTGAGGGTTGGCTAGATGCCATCCCCCCAGTATCCCGTTCCCCCCCCCCCAAAAAAACTAGCTGGAGGGACCAGCGTTGCCTGCATTTCCCTCCCCGCTCCCCACCTCCTGAGGCATCATTTTCGCATGTCAGGAGTACTCTACAGAGTAATTACCCTGTGGTAAGTTTTGGGGGAGAAATGGGGAGCTGGGGGAGGGGGTGGGCACTTGTTGCACTCCAGAACAGGAATAACCTGAGATATAAGGACAGTGTAGAAGGGGCCTCAGAAGTACAAATGATGATCCTTGATTACAGATTCTCCAACCATTTTCCATCTGAGGGCAAAACAGGAGGTAGCTGGAGACCTCAATAGTTGGCGGATGAAGAGCAGTGCCTTACTCCTTCCCTCAGTCGAATGGTAGCCATGTCCTTCAAAAAACATCTAGCTTATGGTCTGGTATTAAGTGTCTGTGAAATGTTGCAATAACTGCAGTTGATGCCAGCCTAAATGCATCTCAATGATTAGCATTTACTCTTTCACAGATAATATAAACCACATGGCAGAGTGCATAGGATGTCTACAAAGACTATTAAGCAGCCTTCCGAAAGCCCACTATAGCCTTTTCCATTTCCTTGTCAGATTTCTGGTCAAGGTGGCATCATACAGCGATGTGAATCATATGACGTTGGAGAACCTAGCCATTATTTTTGGTCCTGCTCTTTTCCGGTAAGAGTTTTCAAAATGATTATATGTTGTTGTTTGCCTTCAAGTTGTTCTGATTTATGGCAGACCTAAGGTGAACCCATTATAGGATTTTCTTGTTTGAAGGGGGCTCACTCTGTGGGGCTGGGAGATGGAAACTAGATGCCATTAAATTGAAAGTTGCAGCATTATACAATACAGTACATAATTGTATTGTTTCAGTGATAAGGTGCTACTCCATAAGAAAAAAAACCCCTACTTGTGTATATTCTGAGGTTGGGCATAGACTGCCATATAATCCAGATTATCTGCTTTGAACAGGATTATATGGCAGTGTAGACTCATAATCCAGTTCAAAGCAGATAATGTGGATTATCTGCTTTGATAATTTGGATTATATGGCAGTATAGAAGGGGCCTAGAATGGTTTTAAGTTTTGCCTGTCTATGTTTTAGCAGCTTCCTGCTGGTATTTATAAGCGTATATAGAACAATTGTTTAGGATCAAACGATTCAATACATCTATATAAATAAAAATGTAATGTTCGTTTGTGGGATTAACAGAACTCAAAAACCACTGGTCGAATTGACACCAAATTTGGACACAAGACACCTAACAACACAATGTATGTCCTTCACTAAAAAAAATGATTTTGGCATTTGGGAGTTGTAGTTGCTAGGATTTATAGTTCACCAACAAGCAAAGAACATTTTGAACCCCACCAATGATAGAATTGAACCAAACTTGGCACACAGTTCTCCCATGACCAACAGAAAAAACTGGAAGGATTTGGTGGGCAGTGTCCTTTGGTTTTGGAGTTGTAGTTCACCTTCATCCAGAGAGCACTGTGGACTCAAACAATGATGGATCAGGACCAAACTCTACAAGAATACGCAATATGCCCAAATGTGAACAGCGGTGGAGTTTGGGGGAAATAGAATCTTGACATTTGGGAGTTGTAGTTGCTGGGATTTATAGTTCACCAACAAGCAAAGAACATTCTGAACCCCACCAACGATAGAATTGAACCAAACTTGGTACACAGTTCTCCCATGACCAACAGAAAATACTAGAAGGATTTGGTGGGCAGTGTCCTTTGGTTTTGGAGTTGTAGTTCACCTACATCCAGAGAGCACTGTGGACTCAAACAATGATGGATCAGGACCAAACTCTACAAGAATACTCAATATGCCCAAATGTGAACAGTGGTGGAGTTTGGGGGAAATAGAATCTTGACATTTGGGAGTTGTAGTTGCTGGGATTTGTAGTCCACCTACAATCACAGAGAGTTCTGAACCCCACCAACGATAGAATTGGGCCAATCCTCCCACACAGAACCCCCATGTGGGTCACAGCAACACGTGGCAGAGGAAGGCTAGGACAAGATAATATATTAAAATATAATATAATCAATATAAATAAAATGTAATGTTAGTTTGTGGTATTAACATAACTTAAAAACCACTGGATGAATTGACACCAAATTTAGACACAATACACCTGTCAGGCCAATAAGTGACCATCACTCATAAAAACACTGAAAAACACAGCAGAAGAGACTTAAAAGGCAAAAAAAAACACCCCAAAACAAAACATTACAACGTATGTGCAAAACCACTTATATACACTTATACATAAATATACATACACACATATATATATACACACAAAGCACATATACACAGACTGGGCCACAGCAACGCATGGCAGGAGTCAGCTAGTTGAGAATATATTTAGAAGGAGTGCTCCCTCAAGCAATGAAAGACAAAGCACAGTGCTTTCCCTCACTTGCATTTAGCATGTAGTGTTTTGTGACTGGTTGTTAGAAAGTAAAAGGGGACTTATTATGCAAGTCTGATTGCTCTAGTATGTTTTCTCTAGTTGGTGGAGCAAAAACATGTTATTTGCAGAAAAATACCCATTCCTCTTAAAATCTGGATCAACCATTAGGAACAATTTGCTCATAATTTCTATTGCCTTGGCCACACTAAAGTAAACATTAACAAATCACATCTGGCATCAATGCAGCTTTCTTTATATTGCTGATTTATTTTCTGTTCCTTGACTATCCACTCTTCCAGGCCTGTCTGCAGGAACATTAAAGAAACACTTAATTACAGTGAGTGACAATTTAATCTTCAACTTGTAGAATTTATATGAGCCTGGGAGGGATACACAGCATTAGATAATTTTACATCATCATTTTACGATCCACATTTCATGTACCATAACTGATATATCCTTTATAATTGCACCAATAATGGTTTCCTTAAGATAAAAGGAAGGCCAAACACACAGCCACATACACACTGACACATACAGATATCTTTCACTGTCAGGATTTAATGGAAAGTGACTGTTTACAGAATCATTAAAAATGGATAAATCTCATTCTCCCCACAGCATTTGCATTTCTTGCTTTAGAGAAAAATCAGCTTCATTGCTCATGTTGTGTGATACATATATTGTGCATGCTGAGATCTCTCTAAGTGCTTTAGTTTCATACAATGCTATGATGCCTTGAGAATTTAAGGCAGATACATAATATTCACGGATTTAGTATTAGTTTTCTATATACCCACCTGATAATGGTCTGTTTATATTGTGATGCGTGTGTATAGAATCATAGAATCAAAGAGTTGGAAGAGACCTCATGGGCCATCCAGTCCAACCCCCTGCCAAGAAGCAGGAATGTTGCATTCAAATCACCCCTGACAGATGGCCATCCAACCTCTGTTTAAAAGCTTCGAAAGAAGGAGCCTCCACCACATTGCTGTGGTGAGTTCCACTGCTGAACGGCTCTCACAGTCAGGAAGTTCTTCCTCATGTATGGGGGGGGGGATTAGGTAACAACAAGAGAGTGTTAGTAGGTAGAATAATTATGAGTTGATGAAAAGTATGAAGTTGAATGAGCACTGTGTGTGCCTTCAAACCATCTGTCAATTTATGGTGACTCCATGAATTTTCTGGTTTTTTTTTCTTAGTCAAGGAATACTCAGAAGCAGTTTGGACAGCTCTTTCCTCTGAAATATAGCCTACACCACCTAGTATTTGTTAGTGAACTCACATTCAAGTTGTGCTGGTACAGCTGTACCAGAAGCTCCCACTTTATTTGCCTTGTATTAAATATTTGCTTGCAGTCCAAGGCTTGGGATTCTGCAGCAGAGTGGCTTCCTGTTAAGGTTTGCAGTTATAGGGCAGGCCACCTGTCCATCATCATTAGGTTTCTTAGTTCCGCCCCTTTTTGGGTTTTCAGAAGAGAAGGGAGCCATTTTTAGTCAGTCACACACAAGGAAGCTAGTCTATAGGACGCAGACAGCTCGTCCTGTAGGAAAAGCTTCATTCTTCAGAATCATCCAGGGATCACCCGGAAATCATCCGGGGATCTTCCAGGGAAATAGGAACAGAAGGAAAAGGTCCCAAAGGCTCTGGCTGAGAGATCACAGCCTCTCAGCCTCACAGCACCAGAGGGGCAAACAGCTCTGAAGTTCCCACAGGACAGTATTACAGAACCACTGAATTCCAGCTGAAGTATCATCAAGCCTTGGCTGGTAGGTTTACTCGATGTCCAGACGTATTTGGGATTGGTAGTAAGACCCAGACCAGAGAGGCCCAGATAACAGACAGCCTGGGTGTGATCCTGGACTCATCGCTGAGCCTGGAACCCCAGGTTTCGGCGGTGACCAGGGGAGCATTCGCACAATTAAAACTTGTGCGCCAGCTGCGCCCATACCTTGGGAAGTCTGACTTGGCCACGGTAGTCCACGCACTGGTTACATCCTGTATAGACTACTGCAACGCTCTCTACGTGGGGTTGCCTCTGAAGACTGCTCGGAAGCTACAAAAGGTCCAACGATCAGCAGCCAGGCTGTTAACAGGAGCGGCACTCAGGGAGCACACCACTCCTCTGTTGCGCCAGCTTCACTGGCTGCCAATCTGCTTCCGGGCACAATTCAAAGTGCTAGCTTTAGCTTTTAAAGCCCTAAACGGTTCTGGCCCAACCGATCTGTCCGAACGCATCACCCCCTATGAACCAGTTAGGACATTAAGATCATCCGGGGAGGCCCTGCTCTCGATCCCGCCAGCCTCACAAGCACGGCTGGCGGGGACGAGAGACAGGGCCTTCTCAGTGGTGGCCCCTCGGCTGTGGAACGCCCTTCCTGCAGATATTAGATCAACCCCCTCCTTGCTGGCATTCTGGAGGAAAGTAAAGACCTGGCTCTTTGAACAGGCGTTTAATTAAGCAGTGCAACTAATTGATTGACTATTGGAACATGGAATAATGGACAAGGAGATCGGATTATGACTTTACTGATGAGACGTGATGGATTAGTTATATGGATGTATTGATGTTATATTGATGTATTGATGTATTGTTATATTGATGTAGTCATCATGATTACTGTTTTAATTGCTAATGTTGTGCACTTTGTATACTGATTTGGTTGTAAACTGCTCTGAGTCGCCTACGGGCTGAGAGAGAGCGGTATACAAATGAAGTAAATAAATAAATAAATATTTTTTTCCTCATGCTGAGAAAGTACAGTTAATCCAAATCAGTGCCAGTCACTTAAAGACTAGAAAAAAAAACCTTGAAGTGTTGTTTGAAGATTTGTTATTTGTTCCTTAATAAAGACTTTGTTGTGCCATTAAACTCCAAAGACCATCACTTCAGGAATTCCCTAAGAATCTCTCTTTGAGGCACCCCGGCTTCCCACTGGGTTTAAAGTGTACGTCCTATAGAATAAAGACAATTTGTTCAGACCCAGTGTGAACACAGGTATTAACAAGGGCTGACCTTGCTTAGATTCCATGATCAGACAGATCTGGTGCCTTTAAAGTATTATTTAGGCTCTGAAATCAGAAAAACCACTACAAAATACATTCAAAATCTCACTTCGTCAGATCAAAATAAGAGAAAAAAATATTTTTTAAAACACTCTACATCAGTGGTTCCCAACCTTTTTTTTGACCAGGAACTACTTCACCAGGTACTACTTGACCAGGGACCACTCTCCAAAATTAGTAACAAAAGGTTAGGAATCAGTTTTTGGTCAACTTTAGATTTGGTTTGGTTATTTGGGGTGTTGATTCAGAAAATTGCATTGGATAGACCACATCAGCTCTAGTTTCTTTTTTTGTTTTTTAAAGTAATTTTATTGAATTTTTACGGGAAAAGAAAAGAGAAAAAAAATAAAAAGGAGGAGGAAAAAAAGGGGGGCATTGGGAGTAGGAAAGTTTAACGGGTAGGAAAGAGGAAGAAGCTAACTATGGTTAAGGGGGTCTGGAAGTTTCCTTACTAATGGAGATTGGAGTGGAAGGGCAGGGGGAAAGGAAAGGTAAAAAATGGGGTAAAAAAGAAAAAAAGAAAAAAGGAACAAATTATTGAAAGAAAAAAGAAAAAAAAGGAAAAAAGAAAAATTGTAAAAAAAAATGTAAAAATAAATTCTTGTTGACTTCCGAATTCTTTTCCTGTCTGAGAGATTGATCTCTTGCATGTGAATTGTAATTAGTCTCTCCGTCTTCTCATAATTACATCATGTTCATCTGGTTTTTTTGAAAAAAAATGTCTAATATAATCCAATCTGTAGGGCATTTGGGTTTGCCTTGATGTCCTTTCAGAAAGTAAGTTAGTCTATCCATATTTTTTATATCCATTATTTTTAGTTTCCATTATTCTTCTGTTGGTTTTTTTCTTGTCTTCCAATATCTAGCAAACACGATTCTGGTTGCAGTTATTGTATAATTGAATAGGATATCTTGATTCTAGTTCAAATTCATGTCTGTTATCCCTAGTAAATAATATTCAGGTTTCAATTGAAATGTCATTTTTAAAATTTTCTGAATGTTTTCATGGATTATTTTCCAATAGCTTTTACACCCCCATCATATATGGAAGAAGGTTCCAGTTTGAGTGCCACATTTGCAGCAACAGTCTTTAACCTTTTTATAAAATTTAGCCAATTTTTGTGGTGTGATGTACCACTAGTACATCATCTTGTACCAGTTTTCTTGTACCAGTTATCAGCTCTGGTTTCTGATGTAGAACATATGCTATCCAGTAGTCATGATCTGCTCACTCACAAGAAACCATATTTAATAAGCCTCGGCACTATAGGAGGGTTTTGCAAGACCAGTTGCTCTTGTTGCAATGGTGTAGTAAAGGTGAGGCCGTGGACCATATTATAGTTCTTGCGGACCACTGGTAGTCCATGGATCACAAATTGGGAACCACTGGTCTACATGCAAGGAAAGTGGTGAAGTGAAGCAGGGGACCTGAATAAGGTATCAGCTGGTGAAGCTCCAACCAGTGAATGGGGACATAAATAATAATAATAATAATAATAATAATAATAATAATAATAATCTTCTATTTATACCCAGCTACCATCTCCCGAAGGACTCAGTGCGGCTTAGAAGAGGCCGAGCCCAAATACATAAGTAAAACACAACAACAACAATACAATAATAAAAAACTCGTAAACAAAGCAAAAAACATTAACAATAACACAGCAGCGCATTAAAACCTGTGGCAGGGCCAAATGTAATACTTAAAATCTTTAAAAGTGCTGGGCATGATCATGTGAAATAGGATAGATATTTTAGGGATAGGTGGGGCTTGCAGGCAATTCTAGATCTCTAGTAAAGCGCATTTGGGGCATATTGCTTGGAGTTTCCTTATTCTGGGAAGGCACACTGGAACAGCCATGTTTTCAAGCTCCTTCTAAAGACTGCCAACGTTGGGGCATGCCTGATGTCCTCGGGGAGTAAGTTCCAGAGTCGAGGGGCCACCACTGAGAAGGCCCTGTCCCTCGTCCCCACCAATCGCGCTTGCGATGCAGGTGGGATTGCGAGCAGGGTCTCTCCAGATGATCGAAGAGATCGTGTGGGTTCATATACAGAGATGCGGTCACACAGGTAGGCGGGCCCCAAACCGTTTAGGGCTTTGTAGGTAAGTACCTGCACCTTGAATTGGGCCCGGAAAATGAAGCTCCTTAAACTCCTAGCCAATGAAGCTCCTTAAACTCCTAGCACCATGTCCCAAATGCACTTTACTAGAGATTTAAGTCTGCACACTGCACCTATCTCCAAAAAACCTACCCATTTCACCTGTCATGTCCAGCATTTTTTAAAATTTTATCCATTCCATTTGGCCCGGCCTCAGTTTTAAATGCGTCGTGGTGTTATTGTTTAATGTTTATTGCCATTGTTTTAATGTTATTGTTTTGCTTTATGAGTTTATTTATTGTTGTATTTGTTATAGTTGTTTTATTGATGTGTTGGCCTTGGCCTTTTGTAAGCCGCACCGAGTCCTTCCGGAGATGTTAGCGGGGTATAAATAAAGTTAATAATAATAAATAATAATAATTAAACAGGAGGATTGACCTCTCCCTGTAAGGAGCACCAATTAACAACCTGGCTGCCGCCCGCTGGACCAATTGAAATTTCCGGGCCGTTTTTAAGGACAGCCCCACGTAGAGTGCATTACAGTAATCCAATCTGGAGGTGACTAAGGCATGGAGCACCCTGGCCAGATCTGCCTTCACGAGGTACGGTCGCAGTTGGCGCATGAGTCTTAGTTGAGCAAAGGCCCTCCCGGCCACTGCCAATGCCTGAGCTTCAAGCATAAGTGAAGGAGGACACCCAAACTGTGGACCTGTGACTTCAGGGGGAGTGCAACCCCATCCAGCACAGGTTGCCACCCTATACCCCAATCTGGTTTACGATCGACCAGGAGGACCTGTCTTGTCAGGATTGATCTTCAGCTTGTTCCTCCTCATCCAGACAGCCACAGCGGCTCGGCACTCGTCCAGTACCCGAGGGGCTTCCTTGGATTTAGGTGGAAAAGAGTAGTAGAGTTGGGTGTCATCTGCGTAGAGATGGCACCCAACTCCAAAACTCCGGATAACCATAGTGATGTTGGGGGCACAGTCAGGTTCCTAATCCATGTCTGTTTGTCACCCATAATTCAGTTTGTGGGGAGAGGAAAATCTGGCCCACAACAATTTCCCATCTGCCCTTTTGCTGTTGTTTGGGGAGTGGAGATGCACTTATTCTGCTATGTGTTTATGAGCAAGTTTTGGAAAAATTATATATTATAGAGTATAGTTATGTCCCTAAGGAAGAAGTGTACAATATTTCAGATGAATGATTGCAGTTGTATTTCTGTGAATATGGTCTGATTTTTCAAGCTGAGGGAAGTGAGTTGTTTTCTCTTACCTCCTGCATGGTTTTTGGAGATTTGCATAAAAATAGCACGTGTCCAGAAATGCACAAAACACGCTCATCATCTTGCCCAGCAGGGTGAAAACTTCTGCAATTATTTGGTCTTGAAAGAAATAATAAAATAAGTAAAGAATTACTGAAAATTTACCCTTTCCCCAATGGCCCACCCCAATTAGTTTTGCTACATGTATATTTATCATTTCTTTTTTTTAAAATCCAAACAGAATAGCCAGCATTTACAACATTTATGTGCAGCAAGTACTAATGACCACCAGAGAGCAATTCCTCAGGGTTTAAAGGGTAGGGAGACAAAGAACTATGAGTCTTGAGATTCCAGTTACTAGAGGCCAAGGACAATTAAATTGATGGCATTCTGCATCTCTCTTTTGCTTTGCTTTTTCAGAATTCCCTGCAGCCCTTCGGCTTGTGAAAAACAAACAATTTTCAATGCCATCCTTCTGCATTTTCTTCAGCGCCATGAGGAAATATTTGCGGATGGCCCCTGCAATGAATGCTCACTGATAGAAGACAATGATGGCCTCCAGGTAGGGGCTAATGAGGAGAGCAAATTCAGCAGTAAACAGAGGAGTCCTTGTTATTTTCTAGTAATCATTATCATCCAATGATGCAATTCTAGATTCAATTATGTCCTTTTGTATTAAGTGCTAGCAGAATAGTCCTTAAATTTTTTAAGCCGAGGGCTGGTTCGGAGTCCCCCAGACTGTTGGGAGACCAGACTATAGTTTGGAAAAAAATGAATTTATTTCTATGTACATAGCACATATCTTACCTGTAGTGCACAAAAATATATGACAAAACAATACAATATTTAAAATGAAGAACAATTTTAACCAACATAAACTGACCAGTATTTCAGTGGCAAGTGTGGCCCTGATTTTGGCTGAGGTGTAGCCAAGTTAATTACGATTGTTGTTGTTGTGTGCCTTCAAGCCATTTCAGGCTTAGTGTGATCCTAGGTCTAAAGTTTAGGGCAGGGGCCAGGTATATGACCTTAGAGGGCCACATTCAGCCCAATGGCCTTAGTTTGGGGACCACTGCTCTAGAGAGTTTTAAGCCCACTGGAAACTGGGGAGGGGAGCTGTTGCTTTTGTTGTCATCCAGGGGAAGCTGACCATTGAACCCTACCCTGTGTGCTTTTCCTCACAATATTGTGTAGTCATAATTGTGAGGGGGTCTATGCAGTCATAAAACTCCTGTTCTGGTGGAAGTTGTTATATTAGTTCCAGTTAAGGAACCAGATATCCATCACACTTGTAGTGGTCTTTTACTTGAACAACAAAACATGCAGAGACTTTTGTTCTTTTCCAAATAAGCAGGAAGGCATTTCTTTCTCCCTTGTTGCAGGAGTATACAAAGTATACCCAAAATATACAAGCTTTACAAGAAGCTTCTTCTTCCTCACCACTTACAGCAGTTGAAAGGGTCTTTGAGTGAAATTCGCAAATGCTAAGCAAGGGGTTTTGAATGAAATTAACAGCAAAAGAGAAATATACCCTTTCTCTGTAGAAAAGGAGCAACACGGAGGAAAATGTTTTTGAGAAACAAGATGTGACATGTAGAGGTCATACAAAGTTCAAGCCTACATAGGAAGTACTTGTGTTGTGGTTAAGTTCAAAGGTTGTGGTTAAGCGCAGAGTCTGTAGGTACAAGAAGGTACTTTCCATCAAAAGATCAAGGGAGAGGGGCTGGAAAGAGAGTACTTTCCATGACCTATTACTTGAGTATAAAAGTCAGCAGAAACAGAGGAGCGGCACAGCAGTCTTTGAAAGCACAAACAGAAGTGTTTCCGTCTCATGTTTATCAACTTGAATAAATGGTGTCTTACATGAACCAATCGGACTCTGTGGATTTCTTCTAAAGGGACCCTGCATCCTAAACCCGTGATCCCTTACACAGTGATTCTCCAAACCACCATTTATCCCTCAACAACTGTCATTAAACTTACTCAATGTAACTAGAACCCATATACCAGGGGTCCCCAAACTAAGGCCCAGGGGCCAGATACGACCCTCCAAAGTCATTTATCTGGCCCTAGCTCAGGGTCAACCTAAGTTTGAAATGATTTGAAAGCACACAACAACAACAACAACAACAACAATCCTATCTCATCAGCCAAAAAAGCAGGCCCACACTTCCCATTGAAATACTAATAAGTTTATATTTGTTAAAATTGTTCTTCATTTTAATTATTGTATTGTTTTTAAGTGGGGTTTTTTTTGCACTACAAATAAGATATGTGCAGTGTGCAGGAATTCATTAATGTTTTTTTTCTTCAAATTATAATCCGGCCCTCCAACAGTTTGAAGGACTGTGATCTGCCCCTCTGTTTAAAAAGTGTGTGAACCCCTGCCATATACCAATCCCATTGCATTAACCACCACACTCTAATTACAGTGGCTTAACTCTTTTACAGGTAGTCAGGCCAAAGATATTAATTATGCTATCACTTAGAAAAAATCAGGTAATTTCCAAATCCTGACAATAATGAATGACGATAGTCTTAAGTTCAACAGTGAGTGTAAAAAAAATCAATTACGAGGGGTATTTTTTAAGCAAGGTCTGTTTTGTTGTAGACACTAGTAGTTCGCGCGCATACCGCAAGGAGCGTGTGCGTCGTGTACCGGCATGCCTCGGGAACAACTCTGCTCAGTTTCCGCTCTGTAGCTAACCTGTACGGTTCTGTTCTGTGCTTTAAAAATGTTTAAGACTATCAACTCACCTTCCGCATGTGAGGTTCGCTCAGTGATACGGTTTTTGTCAGCAAGGAACCTGCCTGCTGCAGGAATTCATCGACAGATTTGTGAAGTGTACGGTGATACTGTTTTGAGTGAAAGCAAAGTGTGTAAGTGGGTACGACAATTCAAAGATGGCCGTGACAACGTCCATGATGAGGACCGCTCCAGTCACCCTTCTTTGATTACAGTGAACTCTTGGTTATCGGAGCAGGCGGCAACTTTTTATGAAGAGAGTATTTTAAAATTGGTTCAGAGGCATTGTTGTATCTCAGGCTAAAATTCACCTTGCTTTCTCTGACAAACCAGCCAAACTTATGAAGAAAGAAGTTTATTGTGAAGTTTCAAACAAATCAGAATATAAGCAGTATAAAGTCCATAGTATAAGGTAAAAATCCAATAGATTCCCTTTGAGTCAAAGCAGGAAACTTGAAGCAAGAAGCAGCATATAATCCAGGAAATAGCATGAGGTTACATGAAGCAGGCTTTCTTCCCCAAGGCCCAAGCCCCAGAGCAAGAGACAAAGCGAGCCATTTTGCAACGTTGAAACTGACGCCGAATCAGCTCCCAGGCAGTTTACTTATAGGTAAAACATCAAAACATTGAACATTAAACAGACAGCTAACAAGCAGTTTTCCCACTCAAGACTTGGCCGCAGTTCGTAAACTCCTTCTTAACACCTGTGGCACAGTCTGACCTTCACCAGCTGTTTTATCAGCCACATTCTGTTCCTGTGATAACAATGGTTTCTCTCTAGCTACAGACTGTGGCTGAGAAAACTGAGAAATCTGAAATCCCACACCTGCATCTGTATTCCCATTCCCATCATGCTCATCCGCACTCTCAGTCCCATCATGCTGTTGCTGCTGAACCACAACAGCATGATAAGTGTTTGAACAAACTTGGCAACTATGTAAAAAATAGAGTGAAGTATGTACTTTCTGAAAATAAATTTACTTTTTTGAAATAAACTTTCGTTGTGTACTTATGTTCAAACGGACCTTACTTTAAAAATACCTCTCGTATAATTTCCCCTTCAAAGAACATAAATTTCCAATATTAGAAAAAAAGGAACAGCAATACAGCTATAAAAACAGTGTATAAAATGTATTCTTCTGCTCCAAGTTTGTGAACTTCTTTCATCTTTTTGGTGGGATCAAAGAGAAAGACAACATTTGGTTTTCAAAAACAAAACTTCCTAGACCAAACCCAAGCCATATATTTTAATGAATTCTTTTAAGGAATTTTTAAAAGCTGTAGGCACTAATAAATTGGTTCAGGATAACTGATTTTTAATTATTTGTTTACTTCTCTGTGGATCAAGGTAATTCTATTACTTACTTACTTACTTACTTAGGCAATCCCTCGCTTTCCGAGGATGATTGTCTTCCAGTGTTCTTGTGGGTCCGTATGTGGCTGTGGAGCCCTATTCTTGCTCTGCATCTTCTTCCGCAGTTCTCAGCATCTATGCCAGAGTTTTTAAGGTTGGCTTTGAGCCCATCTTTAAATCTCTTTTCCTGTCCACCAACATTCTGTTTTCCATTCTTGAGTTCGGAGTAGAGCAACTGCTTTGGGAGACAGTGGTCGGGCATCCGGACAACGTGGCCGGTCCAGCAGAGTTGATGGCAGAGGACCATCGCTTCAATGCTGGTGGTCTTTGCTTCTTCCAGCACGCTGACGTTTGTCCGCCTGTCTTCCCAAGAGATTTGCAGGATTTTCTGGAGGCAGCGCTGATAGAATCGTTCCAGGAGTTGCATGTGACATCTGTAGACAGTCCACGTCTCACAGGCATATAGCAGGGTTGGGAGGACAATAGCTTTATAAACAAGCACCTTGGTATCCCTACGGATGTCCCGGTCCTCAAACACTCTCTGCTTCATTCGGAAAAATGCTGCGCTTGCAGAGCTCAGGCGGTGTTGTATTTCGGTGTCGATGTTGACTTTGGTGGAGAGGTGGCTGCCAAGGTAATTCTTGGTGGCAACCTTGGTAATTCTATTAAATTATATACACATATTGAACACAATAATGAATCTGGTTTAACGATGGAATTATACATATTGAATATGCATGAAAAAATTAACTTGGAACACTAGAGTTGACATTTCAGTCATTTTCTCCTTTCTCTCTACAGAATCTTTGCCCTGCGTTGCTGCATCAGGGACTCACAGAGGAGGCAGAGGAAAGAAAACATTCATAAAGGATTTGGCACTGGAAAGGAACCCAAGATTGCATGGATTGTTCCTTCCACTTGGTGTCAGTGTTTTGTTTGTTATCTCAATGTTCAATGTTCTGGAAAATGGATTGAATAGGCTCCACATTTCCAGATTATTATTGTTTTGACTGCTTACCCCATATTGGGGTAAACTCAGATTTTGTGTGCCAAACATTGTTTTTGTTAACCTGAATAATTCTTCATTCCAACCACCATAGTGTCGCAGTGCAGATTGTCAGAGGATTCAAATATAAAGGTATTTAGATAATGAGATGCTTAGATATAGAAGTGTAATTTAGATGAGTCATGATGTCCCAGTGTTGATGGCTAATTTAGAAATTGGTAAACAATTAATCAAGACACAATGACCACTGAGACAGTGAGGCATGATGAAAATAATTTAATTCACATGGAAATTTGGGAATATTAATGAAGAAGTGAGCAGTCCTACTAATTTTCTAACTGACTCAGTGAAATAAAAGGTTCAGGCCAGACAACTAATTTATTCAGATAGTTAATTAATAAGGCATATTCAGTGTACCCCATTAAGCCTCCAGGAAATCACTAGTGGTCTATAGGTGTTCCTTTCCACAAACCAACACTTGGAAACAATCACAGCAGATTGTTTAAAGTAATGAAAGGTGGCATTTTCAAAATATATTTCTTAATTGAGTTAATTCAAGTTTGTACCAATCACTAAACTGGGATATGAAATATTGTGGGTTTTTGTTACTTTTCTTGGTTTAGTTACTTGATCTACCATGAATGCCAACATTTACAGATGCTCAAGTCCCATTATGCACAATGGTGTAATAAAATTGTTTCCCTTATATACAAGGGCAAAATCAAAGTTTCCTTTTTTATTTTTTTGGGTGATTGTGAGAATGGAATATTTTCAAGCTGTGGATGCTTAAATCTGTGGATGCAGAACCTGTGGCTATAGAGGGCTGACTGTACTATGATAAAAAATGAGTTAAGTATATTTAGTCACATCCATACTAAGGATACCAATCTCTGTCTTTTTAGAAAATGTCTAATCTATGTTGACAACATTCACATAATTATGATGAGTGATAAATAATATTTATTTATTTACAGTATTTATATTCCACCCTTCTAACCCCGCAGAGGACTCAGGGCAGATTACAATGTACATATGCATGGCAAACATTCAATGCCATGTTTGCCATGTATATGTACATTGTAATCCACCCTCAATGCCATGGAGCCCCCGGTGGCGCAGTGGGACTGAAGACCGACAGGTCGCAGGTTCGAATCTGGGGAGAGGCGGATGAGCTCCCTCTATCAGCTCCAGCTCCTTATGCGGGCACATTAGAGAAGCCTCCCACAAGGATGATAAAACATCAAATCATCCGGGCGTCCCCTGGGCAACATCCTTGCAAACGGCCAATTCTCTCACACCTGAAGTGACTTGCAGTTTCTCAGGTTGCTCCTGACATGACAAAAAAAAATCGATGCCATAGACCAGGGGTCCTCAAACTAAGGCCCGGGGGCCGGATACGGCCCTCCAAGGTCATTTACCCAGCCCTCGCTTAGGGTCAACCTAAATCTGAAATGACCTGAAAGCACATAACAACAACAACAACAACAACAATCATATCTCATTAGCCATTATTCCCATTGAAATACTAATAAGTTTATAGTTGTTAAAATAGTTCTTCATTTTAATTATTGTATTGTTTTAAGTGTTGTTGTTGTTTTTGCACTACAGATAAGATATGTGCAATGCACATAGGAATTTATTCATTTTTTTCAAATTATAATCCGGCCCTCCAACAGTTTGAGGAACTGTGACCTGGCCCTCTGTTTAAAAAGTTTGAGGACCCCTGCCACACAACATCTATAGACAGACACAGAGGCAATTCAACATTCCAGCTTTTTTCTTGAGGGTATTCTGGCCACCAGGGGAGCTGTCCCTATTTGTGACACTGATGAAGTACTTCCTCATTCTTTGCATGTTTGCTAGGGGGTTTTATGGCCTTGTAAATTAGTTATATTTGCTTTCCCACATAAGCGGTACCTAAATTTCCTACTTGACAGATGCAACTGTCTTACAGGCTACAAAGGTTGACAGCAAGCTAAACAAAATTGGTCAGAAGCTCGCTCCAACCAGGGCTGGCTTTGAACTCATGACCTTTCAATCAGTAGTGATCTTAATGCAGCTGACTCCCAGCCAGCTATGCCACAGTCCCGGTAATAATCAAGGTATTATTGAGCAGAGAGTGTATTAAGCAGAGAGTGTTTGAGGACCGGGACATCCGTAGGGATACCAAGGTGCTATTGTCCTCCCAGCCCTGCTATATGCCTGTGAAACGTGGACTGTCTACAGACGTCACATGCAACTCCTGGAACGATTCCATCAGCGCTGCCTCCGGAAAATCCTGCAAATCTCTTGGGAAGACAAGCGGACAAACGTCAGCGTGCTGGAAGAAGCAAAGACCACCAGCATTGAAGCAATGGTCTTCTGCCATCAACTCCGCTGGGCCGGCCACGTTGTCCGGATGCCTTACCACCGTCTCCCAAAGCAGTTGCTCTACTCTGAACTTAAGAATGGAAAACAGAACGTTGGTGGACAGGAAAAGAGATTTAAAGATGGCCTCAAAGCCAACCTTAAAATCTCTGGCATAGACACTGAGAACTGGGAAGCCCTGGCCCTTGAGCGCTCCAGCTGGAGGTCAGCTGTGACCAGCAGTGCTGCAGAATTCGAGGAGGCACGAGTGGAGGGTGAAAGAGAGAAATGTGCCAGGAGGAAGGCGCGTCAAGCCAACCCCGACCGGATTTTTTTTGGGGGGGGGGGGTTGGGGTGGCCCCATACCATTCCGATAATTGCCATGATGGCATGGGGCCACCACTCCCCGGGAAATTCCAGATTCTTGGGAACTTAAACCTGTGCTGATTTAGGTTTTTTAAACCCACTTCAGCGTGGGTTTAAGCCCTGTATGGAAGCACCCTGAGACACTTTTCATGGTGTTCCGTTAGCACATCTTTGCAATTAACTACCGGTTCCCTAGCCCCTCTGCTACTTAGCTAAATATATGTAATGTATATACACCCTGGTAGGAGATTCCAGCCAACAACCATTCATGATATGCCTACCTAAAGAAGTAGCTTCAAGGTGCCTAGTGATATGGATAGTCCTGCATTGGGTGTGCATATACGATCTGATTCTAGCAGTAAAAGGGCAGTGTGCTTGAATCATGTATGTGCACAACACCTTGTTTTCTGCTTCCCTGGACACTAGGACGCCGAACAATGGCTTCAAACTACAAGAAAGGAGATTCCATCTGAACACGAGGAAGAACTTCCTGACTGTGAGAGCCGTTCAGCAGTGGAACTCTCTGCCCCGGAGTGTGGTGGAGGCTCCCTCTTTGGAAGCTTTTAAAAAGAGGCTGGATGGCCATCTGCCAGGGGTGCTTTGAATATTCCTGCTTCTTGGGAGGGGGTTGGACTGGATGGCCCATGAGGTCTCATCCAACTTTATGATTCTATGATTCTATGATCCCTCCAGCTCAAAAGAACAAGCTTAATTGATTTCACATTTTCACTGGTCACTTCTCAAATTAAAAAATAACAACATGGATTCAGGCTATTGTCAATACACTCTGTTCTGCTGCTACTGCAACTATATTTCATGGTTGTTGTTTTTTTAAAAAAAAAATCAACGTAGTTAACATTGGAATATTTATCTAAAAAAGGTAACAAGGAATTTGCCAAATACAGCACTAGGTAAAGGCAATATTTTCTCAGTTCATCTGCTTTGTCTGCTTTTTTATTTGCAATTCAAGTTTGACCTTCTCACCCCTCAGCATGAAATTTATGCCAGGAAAGCATTTATTATTTAACCTTGTGTTTACAATTTGTAATGGGTTGCCCTTAAACAGAGAAAAGCTGGACATCACAAACAACTGGAATACTGTACCATAGACTCATGCTGGTTCCCCCTTTCTGTTTTGTGATCTTTGGACCTATTCTTGTTGCTAGAGAACTGTGAGCATCAGGAGGATCTATGGTAAGTTGAACCAGATGTTAGAGAGAGAAGAGGAAGAGTAAATTGGCACGGGGACACTCTTTTGAGTAAGAGCCTGTGTTTTACAAACATTTACATACATATAAATATACAGAGATGGAAAGGAGTTGCTCCCATGTGCCATGGTCCCACCTGGCTGCAGTAGGTATTATTTATCTTTATAATTTAAGACAAAGACTTGGTTGTCTTACAGTTTGGGTTGTTAATTTACTGGCAGGGTGTTTCTTTAATGATTCAATGCCTCCTTCAGAAGCATTTGTCAGTTGAGGATAAATAAACTAAAAAAGTAGAGCTAACAATAAAGTGAAATGAAAACACAGGAAGAGTGAATCCAAAGAAGCAAAACTGATAGTATGGCCCTGGAATGTGTCCAGAGGAGGGCGACTAAAATGATCAAGGGTCTGGAGAACAAGCCTTATGAGGAGCGGCTTAAGGAGCTGGGCATGTTTAGCCTGAAAAAGAGAAGGCTGAGAGGAGATATGATAGCCATGTATAAATATGTGAGAGGAAGCCACAGGGAGGAGGGAGCAAGCTTGTTTTCTGCTTCCTTGGAGACTAGGATACGGAACAATGGCTTCAAACTACAAGAGAGGAGATTCCATCTGAACACGATGGAATATTCATACAATATTCCTGCTTCTTGGCAGGGGGTTGGACTGGATGGCCCATGAGGTCTCTTCCAACTCTTTGATTCTATGATTCTATGATTCTACGAGGAAGAACTTCCTGACTGTGAGAGCTGTTCAGCAGTGGAACTCTCTGCCCCGGAGTATGGTGGAGGCTGCTTCTTTAGAAGCTTTTAAACAGAGGCTGGATGGCCATCTGTCAGGGGTGATTTGAATGCAGTATTCCTGCTTCTTGGCAGGAGGTTGGACTGGATGGCCCATGAGGTCTCTTCCAACTCCTTGATTCTATGATTCTATGATTCTTGCAGATTATGTCCCGGGCTGCCTAAAGTGGGACAAACCCATGCAATTTTGAGGCACTGAGGATGCATCTACATTGTAGAAGGAATACAGTTTGACAACACTCAAACTGCCATGACACATAAGAATAATTGGAGTTGTAGTTTTATGAGATCTTTAGCTGTGGGGGTACATCTACATTACCAAATAATTGCTAGGGATTTCTCATCTTCGGAGGAGGAAGGGGAGCAGGGAAGTGCTCAGGAATTGGAGGGAGAAGAAGAATCAGAAGATAAGGGTTTGAAAGTTACACATATCTATCTACATCTCGCTACCAAATTGGAGGCACAGGGGTAGGAATCTTGAGGGAAAAGTGAACCTTTGGGGGAAGAATCATCCTGCCCAGACATATTATTGATAAGCCTCCAGCCTCGTGTCACTGGTTGTGAAATCCTATATAATTGGTGGCCAGCGGTGAGATATTTGGTGATATATTGATATAGTATATCAGTGATTCTTTTATAACATGCCTAGTAGTTTCCACCTTCTCCATGCTACATGGGCATACACAGTCGTAGTAGGGGTTACCTGTAAACCTTCTGGCAAATAAAGTCGTCCAGTGTGGGCTAGGCAAAACTACGGTTCGGTAATTGGTTAAGCGGATGAACCCAGAGGGTACTCACCAAAGCTTCCTCTTCATCCTGGAAAGTAATGAAGAGTGGAGTGCTGCAGGGTTCT